CTCAAGGCACAGCCAACCTGGATTTTGGATATCTGGAAACAAGGGAATAAGAAAGACAACACACGCCGTACTTTCTCCCAACTTGATATCTACACAGTATTTTCATGATCCAGTGATAAGCACTCCTCATTTGTTTCCTCTTGGCACCTTTTCAAAGGCCTTTTGCCGTACTGGCTTTTTAATCTGAAGTCTCCCAGAATCGAATGACCTTCTTTTTGTAGACCAGCTTTCTTTTTAGCAGAAGGGGTTTCCTTCTGCTAAATAGATGTTTCACATCCCTCAGAATTATTGGATTTTCCACGTTCAGCAACCATTTCTTTTTCCTTGCAGCCTTTAGAAAGTTTGCCAGGATTCTACAATATCATTGGCACTTAATTGTTCAGGTTCTGCAACTTGCATTAAAAAATTAGGCTTAATTATATAGTGAAGAGCTTTGGAAATCCAGACAGGGATAGGATGACTTGTTAGAAGACTCCAGACTGTGAGAGAATTCTCTCGCCATAAACCTGATCAAATCAAATCTTGAGGTGAAGTATGGCTTGTACAGCTTGTACATTTTGAAAGTATGTGTCAGAGATGTTACATAAATCCTTGGAAGCTAAATATAACACTAAAACCAGGAAATAATAATTCTATTCCCAAATCTGCTCGACAACTTTCCTTTCCACCCAGTGTGGCCTTCTGAAGGAGATCCGTGACCGTCCTAACTTTCCCTTTTGAGATATGAAGGGTGCTTGTGAATTACATCTGCATTGTCAAGGACCCAAAAGGGGATGCCAGCACCGCCCACTTACAGGAAAGAAAGATGTGGCATAACCACATTTTAAACAGTCTGTCAAAATACTGTTGGGAGACTTAAATTTAAAAAAAAAAAATCTTCTTTTTTTTTTGCAATGCAACTTTCTGATATGAAAAGTACCCAAAGGCCCAAGTGCACAAGAAGAATTGCTCCTACTTTATTCCTCTAGACATGTGGAATGGCAACTTGCAGCTCTCCTCCCTGGGAAAAATAATAAGAGATGTTGGCCAACTCTATCTGGAAGCCCCAGATTAAGGAAATATACTTAATCTCTCAATCGTCAAGCTAAACTTTTCAGGGAATAAAGCAACAAGTAGTTTTAAACATTAATATTCATTGAGTCCTAGTTGGGCAGACTGAAATAGTTAAACTATCCAACAAAAATATGAAATATGTTTTTAAAACTTCTCCCCTCTCTGAAAAAACAAGTCTTGACAATAGCAGTACAATTCTTGATGAGCTTTCACTTTGGCAGCTGCTGTGACAAACCAGCTAATTGCAGGACCAAATAAATACATCTGGAGCCACAATGGACATGAGATTCATCTCCCAGCAACAATTGCACTTTTATGAAACTGATTGAGACATTAATCTCAATTAATGGAACAGCAAGAACCAGTCAGGGGGTTGGAAACACAAAGACCAGAAAGGCATTAATCGGAGTAGATCGTTTGTTCTAAACACCCTGAATGGAAGGAAATAGGCCAAGCATAAATATGAAACTGCTCCAGACACATTCTCATAAGGGTGCTCCTGTCTCTTCAAATGGTAATGTGTGAGTCATTGTCAACCCTCTAATGTTTTTTCCCAGACGAATCTTGTAGGAGCTGCATTTTTAGACCCAAACTAGGAGGGATTCTAAGCACGGTGATATCATCCTTCCAAAATCTGTTTCGAAAACTTTGGATCAGACTAGATGGCCATTTGACTGGGCTCATTTTCCCCCATAATGTCCTGCTAGAGTCACACATTTTGCTAAGCCAGCTTGCTATTTTATCCATATTGGTTAAGTAAGACAGAATGGCCAGGGGTATACATTGTGTTCAACCACAAACTATGGTTAACAAACCACAACTGTTGGATTTATATAACAGGCTGAGATTTAATAGGTAACCACATATTGCAAACATTTGTGCAGTGTGGAATCCCAGAGGAGGGCATGACTCCTTCTTGCTTGGGCCTTGATGCTCAAAGGCACACAATTTTCAACCTTTATCATGTCTTTTTCAAGTCATCGAACCACAAATTGCCATCTCAAAACACCATATCCCACAATTTAATTATCTATTAATTTAGCAGATACCTTGCCTGCCCCAAGTTCACCGTGCGTTCATCTAGGCCGCTGGCTGTAGCTCTTGGGGACATTAAGTGGAGGACCTTCTACACGAGAAGGCAGTATTCTCTACACCAAGCTGCAGCCTCATGAGATATTGCCATCTTGTTTCAGAAAGTCTCATTCATCTTCACTATTAAGGATTATTTTTTTTAAAGTTCACTTTGTGAGAGTTAGTCCTACCATACTTAATCCCAGAAGATTTATTTTGGAGGATTCTTCACTCAGCGATCCCATCAACTGCTATCTTGCAACTGTTGTGAAAGAACATCTTTGTGCTGTGCCATTTTTAGTTCAGTCCCATTTTTAAAACAACAACAACAAAGCATTTCTTTTTTATGCTATGAATTCCCTGCCTCCAAGAGACTCCCCGAAGATTGAAGATTGCGTAGGAGCTGCCTTTTTAAAGCCACCTCATTAACTCCCCTCCACCCCCCAATCCTCCCCTTTGAGCTCCCAGGTCCAAGTCGTTGCTGGAAAGACAAATGCTTTCTGACGGGATGGGAATTTGCATCCAGGTTGCTAGGCAACCGGTTGTGGTACTGCAGCCTCCTGAATCGAGAACTCCCCGCCTCAACCTGAATTTCCTGGCAGGATTCCACCATCTGTGGTTAGTGGCAGGCTGTAATTTAAGAGGTAGTATGGAGCTTTTAATAGCCCAATACTAAACATGTTTATGCAAAAGAGGTCTGCTGAGCTCAACAGCCAGGGAAATAAGATGGCTTACCAAAATAGAAAATCCAGCCTTCCCAAGAACACCTGATCTGAAGTGATGCTACCTGAATGTATTATGCAAAGTCCTTGGCTTTCTTACCTGTGGTTTATTGGAAAAACTATAACACACAGGCTCACATTACATAACATAGTTATAAGTGGTTTCTCTGATTTAGGGTTGATGCAGCACATGAATGCAAACCAAGCCACATGTGCATGCATAGGCAACCATTGGGGCTGTGAACCGTAGGTGGCTAAAGTATGTGACTATTGCTATAATATGTGTAACATCCCTGTAGAGTTCAGGTAGCAGAGACCAGTGGGAGCTGCCCAGAGTGCTGATCCTTGCTGGAAAAGGCCTCTCTCCATCTGAAAGGGAAACCCCGGATTGCTCATCTTGTACTAAGCCACAGTATGATGTGTTAACGGCATAACAGAGTCGGAAGGGACCTTGGAGGTCTTCTAGTCCAATCCCCCACTGGAGCAGGAGAGCCTGTACCATTCAGGACAACCAGCTGTGCAGTCTCTTCTTCAAAGCCTCCAGTGGTGGAGCACACAACTTCTGGAGGGAAGTCACAGGGCCAAAGTTCATGGATTTATTCAGTACACCCAGGATTATTATTTTTTTTAAAACTCTCCTCAGCTCGTTCCTTATTTTGTTGAGCAGCAACCCAAAACCCACTGAAACGGGAGCCACACCCATTTTTTAAGCCACAGGGCTGTGGGACTTGAGAAAAAGAGAAGTCATTCTGTGGGTCAAAGCAAATATTTCTCTAGTGCTGTGTGACCCAGACAAAGAGGCTGGACTGCATCAATTCCTTTCCCAGCAGTTTCATTGACTGTTTGTTCGCAGCTGATAAACAATGGAGAATAGGGCCCATAGAAGCTGGACACAATGAAGAATGCCACAGAGGGGTGTTGTTGTTCTTTAACCATACGGAAGCAAATTAACTTCCGCTTCTGGGGGAGGCAGACAGGAGAACTTACTCCCCAACACCTGCAAAATGTAATCAGGATGGCCCAACCAAGAAATAAAAGGGTTTTTTGCCCCTCGGAAACTATGTTTAATTTGAGCATTGGGAGAGCAATGCAAATTCTGATTCTCTGAAAGACCTTACCATTGCTATCTTTGCACCCTGAGAACTCCCTACATCCAGAGGTTGTGGTCAATATCAACTACCACTAGAGAAAAGAACAGGTGCGTTGCAGGAGTATTAGTGCTTCTCCGTCTTGGCTAGAAGCTTGAAGATGGATGGACTTCAACTCCCAGAATTCCCCAGCCCGCATAGCTGGGATTTGAAGCCCGCCCGTCTTCAAGCTTCTAGCCAAGGTTAAGAAACGCTCCCTTCGCCCAAGGTTTCCCTGAATCGATGGGGTCAGGGTCATTCATTTTGTCTTTATTCAAGGCTTTCCCCCAATCCTTCATGGCTAGATGTCCCCTCCCTTGTCCGTGGAGCTCTTCCTGCCGGCAATTCCTGCGGGAGCCCAAGCCTGGCTTAAGCCCCTGCCCAGCGGGGAAAGGAGCCGGCGGGCAGGGTCTCCCTGGAACGCCCCCCCGCCCGGCACAGCCAATGGGACGCGGCCGGCTCATAAAGGGCCCCGGCATTGTGCGTGGAATTAGCCGCGGTCCGCGCGTTCCACTCAGCCGAGCCGGGGCTCCGGAGAGAACCTGCGGCTTAGCTGGGGTTGCCCTGCTTGGATCCGACTTTCTGAAGGAAAGGGAGAAATCCGGGCACGGCAAGACGCCGGGAGAGCGCCCGAGAGTGGGAACACACCGTGGGTGGTTTGAGGAAGGTTACTTGGCGCACGCGCGTGTTCCTTAGCCCCGCTTTGGTCACGATTTCTGACTCATTCCGCATCGCTTCCCTGTCTGCTTTGATGCTCTTTAATAACCGGGGTTTCTCCCCACCCCCCAAAGCGGCTTAAGGCAGGTTCTCCAACCCAAGCAGTTTGCGCTCAGTTCTGAAAGTCGGAGGAGAACAAAAAGGTATCAGGAGAGGAACGTCTGCACTTGCAATGCCAGTTTGCTACACCTTCCAGGGAAGCCGGGCATGATGCCTCCCTGCTCCATGGAATGTCTTGACCTCGGAAGGCTTTCTGGAAAAGCATCAAGATCTAACTGTGCCAACTGGCATGAGGGTCTAAGAGTGGCATGCAAGCCCGGGCGTGGTTTGTGGCTTGAGGGCACTTTTCAAACCTCTGTACCTTTCCACCTCTGTTTTTAATACTGTTTTTAGCTATGTCGCTTTCCAGGGTTTTCATTTGTAAGCTGCTGAGAGTCACTTAGGCAAGGTGGGCAGTATAGAAATTTGATGAATAGGTAAAATAAGGTAAATAAATAATGAAAAGGATCCATTCAGGCTTCAGATCTCTTGAATCGCCTGTTTCAATCCGATTCAGGACTAATAAGAGGTGATGAATCTGTGAACTCCCAAGTCTAGACTGAGCACTCTTGCAATTCAGCTGTGGCCCTTGCTTAAGTCTGCCATCTTTTTCTGGTGCACAAATTTGTCCCACCTGTTTCAATCTACTGATTTTCTTTTAAAGTCGTGTTTCAGAAAATACTGGAGTTTGATTTTTAAACGAAAAACAGGAGTTCCTGGAGCCTTTATGAGTTTAAGCCAAGGTCTTAAGGGAAGCGTGTGAACCATGCCAGATCAGGCAGAAAGACGCAGACTAAAATGAGCTGCCAACTTCTCTCTCTGGGGCCGGATCTTTCTTTGCCATCCCGTCATCCTGGCTGAACTTCACCATTCCCAGACCTCTCCGAATGTTCCATCCGGTCCATTTGGTGTGTGGGTTTCCAGAGAAATGAGAGGGGAGGGCGCACAGTGCTTCAGTGTGCTCTCTTGCTATCTCTATGGAAACCCCAGTCCTGAATGGGTTTGGACGGAGCGTTGCCATCTGTTCCGCCCCCTAATTTTAAGTGAACATGGCTCAGATGACATCATGTCAATGTTCCTTTAATACGCTGAGGAAACCATCTGGGCCTGTTGTCCCGTACCAAAAGAGAGGAGAAGGGATGTGGAAAAGAGGTCCAGGGAGACATCTTGCTTGCAAATGGATGACAGAAACTCTTCTGATGAAAACTTTTTTGTTACCTTTTTTTCAGGCTTCGTTTTGGGGAGGATTAACCTGGTTTCCTTAACAGAAGCATCAAGCCTTAATCCAGGCAAACATGAAGGCGCTGGTAAACATGGTTGTTATCATTAAGCCTGGATAATTGTAGAGTCTGCGCCTTGTCTGCTGTTGCTTAGCCATGGCACGGAAGCCTGACTGACTGCTGCCACCACCCACTTCCTGGTTCTCATTTTAGACGGCTGAGCCAAGGGGCCCATCTCCTTGCAGCCTTTGGTAACTTGCTGCCTTCAAGATGCCATCGTTCCAGGCAGTGCAGGAAAAGGGATTGATGGAGAGCTCATCCCATGCGTGTGAAGGGCACCGTGTAGAAGAAAGCTGCCTTATTGTGCAGTCTTGGAATGCTGTTGGCTGCTGGTTTCATTTTAGAGCGTGCTTTTGTTTTCCACTTATGAAAGCTAGGCTGGGTTCGATTTAGTTTAGGAATAGCTTCTGTTTATCTATTCATCCATCCATCCAGTCTATCATCTTCCATCTCTCTCAGTGTTTCTCAACCTTGTGAACTTTAAGATGGGTGGACTTCAACTTCCAGAATTCCCCAGACACTTCTATGAGTTGAAGTCAACCCATCTTGAAGTTCACAAGGTTGAGAAACACTTTGTCTGTCTGTCTGTCTGCCTGCCCCAATCAAGAGCATATTTGCAAAAGCCAGACAGTCTGAGCAAGGCTTTAGGTAAAGGAGGCAACCTTGCTTAACGTGTTCCGTTGCTGTATTTGTGATTGGCAGAGTTTGTCTGAATTGCAGAAAAGGACCGGCCTTTGCACCATCCGAATCATGTCTTCTGTTTTGCATTTGATTTGGCTGAACCAATGAGCTGAAGTATCCCACTTGGTCAAGTATTGCAAGCCCCACCTGTTCTCCCCCTCCCCTGCAAGCCATGGTAGGTTAGTCACGGCAGTTGAACAATAGGCCCCTCCTTTGTGTAGGTTTCGGGAAAGTCAATGCTTGGTTCTGATGGAATAACTTTACTTTATTTCACTCTGAATAAAGGGGAAATAGCTTCCCTGGGGAAATGAGGAATTGTAATCCCACAGGAAACGTAAGCCCAGTTAAAGGGAAAAACACCCTTTTCTTCTAAAAATATCTGACTTGCAGCGCCGGAGGACGTCATCCAGGAGTGAAAACTCTGACTACACCGAGAAGGAAAAGGAGATGATGGCAGACATCGAACTGAGGAAACTGCAGCAACAGTTTTGGATCATGGTGGAGAGCCGCAAGTCGCTTGGTTTGAAAACACAGCAACAATTGTTCCATCAGGAGTGAGTCTGCCAGAGACGAAGCAGGAGCTGCCATAGTGGGTGGGCACGGGTGGGCATGACCCACATGGATAGATGCCAACCAATCACATGTTCTGATGGCTGAGAAAAGTGAAGGCCGGCTTACCTGCTCCTGCTTAAATCTGTCTAAGTCACCTTTGCACACTGGTCGGTTGACTCCTTCTGCTAACCATGACTTATGTTGTAGTAGGGCATAAACAGAATAACAGAGTCAGAAGGGACCCTGGAGGCCTTCTAGTCCAGCCTCCTGCTCAAGCAGGAGACCCTATACCATTTCGGACAAACGGTTGTCCAGTCTCTTCTTTAAAATCTCCAGGGATGGAGCACCTGCAACTTCTGGAGGCCAGCAGTTCCACGGGTGAATTGTCCTCCCTGTGAGGAAGTTTCTCCTTAATTCCAGGTTGCTTCTCTCCTGGATTCATTTCCACCCATTGCTTCTTGTTCTGCCTTCAGGGGCTTTGGAGAATAATTTGACGCCCGCCCCCCCTTCTTTGGGGCAGCCCCTCAGATATTGAAACATTGCTATCCTGCCACCCCTGGTCCTTCTTTTCATTAGACGAGACATACCCAATTCAAGCCCCCTGCAGCTTGTAATCCGTGGTTTAGGGTTTCACGCTTTGCCAGCCTCGTTTGGGATGCTTGAACACCCTTTGGACACAGGCCTTCTTTTCCCTTTACAGAAAACACATCCATGCCTTGAAACAAGAACATGATGAGATTAATGCGCTGCTAAGCCTCACCAATTCACCCCGCAACCTTTTCATAGATGACCGGAACTTCATGGAGCTCAGGTTCCTTCTGCAGACCAAAGACGAGTACGATGCTCTCATCAGAGCCACCAAGAATCTGATTGCAGAACTGGACGACAAGGTGCTTGGGAGAATGTGCGACTTAGAAAGCGGGGGTTGTGAAGCACGATAGACAGCCCGGGAGCAAGCAAGCAGCGAGCGTGAGATTCGCAGCTCTCCTCCTCTCTCTCTGCTTTCGACTCCTCTGTACACTCTGCCTGCAAATCAAAACTAGTTTAGCATGCCCTAATCCTTGTGCAAACACCGTCTCCAGTTCAAAAGCAAAGAGACCACAAACCCAAGGATTGCCAGCTGTAGAAAGCACATGAGGAAAATTCTGTTACTTGGGGAATATTCTTCCTCTCTCCAATCTCAATTTCCTTTGCTCTGTTTTTGTTGTTTGGAGCAGGAATGACTTCTTGTACTGGTAGTCCTCGACTTATGATCATAATTGACCCCCCCAAATTTCTGTTGCTAAGCGAGACATCCATTCAGTGAGTTTTGTACCATTTTTTCAACCTTCCTTGCCAAAGTTGTTAAGTGAATCACTGGAGTTGTGAAACTGCAACCATCATAAATATGAGTCAATTGCCAAGCATTTGAAGTTTGATTTTGCGACCATGGGGATCCGGCTACAATCAAAAGTGTGAAAAACGGGCCATATATCACTTTTTTCAGTGTCCTTGTAACTTCAAATGGTCACTAAACGAGCTGCTGTAAGTCAAGGACTACCTGTACACAACTAAGCATCCAATTTTTAGAGATTATAGTAGCAAATGCACTGCAGTGATTAGTTGTTTTCCTCCAACCATTTCCTTTCAATGAATAGAAAGAGTTTTGAGATATTTCTCCCTCTGCTTTTAGATAGAAGAGGTGGAAAAAAAGATTCAAGCCCAAAAAGTCCTCATGACGAAGCTGAGGCAGGAGTATGATGGGAAGGGGCTTCAGAAGCAAATCCACAAACTGGATAACCGTCTCAATCGTGTAAGTTGCCATTTGCAGGCTTGCTAACCTTCCTCTTGCGGGAGAAACCAGCCTCTGTCTCCACCTTGAGGGGAGCAGCTGAAATAAGAACCACAATGGACAGCCCTTAAAAATAAACTTGAGGGGGCAGAAGAACTCCAAATTTAGAACCACCAGGTAGAACAGATGATGGTGAACATAAAATACTATGGCTTCTTTTGAACATTTAAGGACTGGGACAGAGAACTCTGGCCCAATTTTGTGTAACTTCAGCATCAGTTTGTCTTTCAGGTGTTGGAAGCCTCTTGCTCTCCAAACCTCCCCTTTCTAAACCATTTCTACTCCATAAGTTTGGAGGTGTCAGTAAGGAATAAAGACACGGAGGGTTGCGGAAAGAAGAAGGGAACGATGCCTTCTGCAAATCCCACCCTCTGATAACTGTCCCCGTTATTAGCTGCTCTTTTCCGTGACTTTGAGAAACGTGGTTCACTCTTGCTTTAGAGCCTCCTGGGTCCTTTCCTAATGTTAACCTTTGACCTCCAGGCCACAGTACATTTTGACACGATCTTGACCAGAAACGCCACGCTCCGGGAAGAAATAGAAACCCTGCAGTGCCAGAAGGCGATTTTTGAAGGCATCTACTCACGGCTTTACAAGAAGCTGGAGCAGAAAAAGAGGACCATGAATGCATCCATTGAGCAGTCAACACAAGCCTACGAGCAGAGGTGAGGAGGAGGAGGAGGAGGAGGAGGAGGAGGAGGAGGAGGAGGAGGAGGAGGAGGAGGAGGAGGAGTGGGACGACTAAGGGCGCAACCCGCTGCTCACTTTCAGGACTGCAACTTCGACTGTTGGGGGTGAATTTGAGATTGCCCTTCTAATGGAGGGTCTCCCTGTAAACAAAAGTTTTTTTTAAAGATGGGATTCATGCTACTCTGCAATAAAATGGAAAATGTTAATTGTCGGATGACAGAAGGCAGGCAGGGAAATCTCTTATTCCAAAGTCTTCGTGGCCCCAGCCCAAATGCTCTCCGCAGATACAAAACCAATTCTATTTCAAGGAATAAGCAAACAGGTTTCCTTGCATCCTTAATTTTTCAAAACTTGCAGCGTATTAATCGTGTAGAGCAGCTTTTAAAAAGGATATTTATCAACTTCTCTCCCTCTCCCTCTCCTATCTGCTTTTCTGTTTCTTATTAGAGTTGAAGCTCTGGCAAGGATCTCTGCCATAAATGAACGGCGGTCCAAGGATATTGCCCAGTTCAACATAGAGTTTCGGGAGCTGGAGCGGATCTATAACCATGAGACCAAGCTGAAGGCATTCATGCTCATCAAACTGGTGGATCGCTGTGAAATTGAGGAACAGGCCAAAAAGGAAGAAGGTACCGTTTGGTCACTCAATTCATGCCAATGTAAGGGGGGGGGGTATGCTATCTGAGGCAAGAAGAAAAGGCGCCTCATCTGATGTCCCCCAGACACGTTGGATCTTCCCAAACTAGGATTGAAAAACACAGCAACGCAATATTTTCCATTCCCGAGAGCCTGTTTGGTATCGTAGTGAAGGCACCAGGCTAGAAACCAGGAGACCAGGAGTTCTAGTCCTACCAGGGACTTTTCAAGCCAGTTGCCAGTAATCAACAATGACTCAAAAGCACACACACACACACACACACACACACACACACACGTTAGCATGTGCTGCCTGGTGTTGCAAGTGATGAACTTTTGAGCAATCAGGCTATCCACACACATATGCAGAGGGTTCTATAAACACACAGATATGAAAGCTATTAATAATTTGTACAGCACCACTTTAATTGGGTGTGTGTATGCCTAGTAATAACAACCCCAGTGGGCACTCTTTTGGCTGGGTGGTCAGTTGTTCTGTAGGGGAATCAGCCCAACTGGCCCCGTATCTCCTAAAGAGCCAGCCCAACTTTCTCTCAGCGGTCAAGGCCAGGAAGCGGGCCAAGTCGAAAGGGGAGAGCTTCGAGAGCTACGAGGTGGCCTACATGCGGCTGCTGAAGCTGACGGAGAACGGGGACATTGAGCAGCTGGTGGAGGACTACCTGGAGAAGGAAGGGAAGAACTTCGCCTACTTCAGCTATGTCACCGAACTGAACAACGACATGGAGAGGCTGCAGAAGAGGATTGAGGTGGTCCAGGTGGGCTCCTTCCTTCTCCTCCCACCTCTCTTTTCAGAAGGGCCTCTGGGCAGCTTGGTTGGTCCTTGGGGTCTTCAGTCCCAAGGGTGTTTTTTGTTTTTTGTTTTTCCCCCAAGGGGCAGCTGGACTTTCTGGGTGTTGTTTTTTCTTTGAAGATGTATCGCTTCCCATCCAAGAAGCTGCTTCTGCTCTGACTTGAATGAGAAGCAAAACGTCTTCAAAGAAAAAAAAAACACCCAGAAAGTCCAGCTGCCTCTTGGAAAACGCACCTTTGGGACCACCGTGAGCTGGAGGGCTGATCCTCTCCCTAGTCAGGGCCTTCAGCTTTTGCTGCCCTCCAGCTCTTCTGCACCTCAGGGACTCTTCTTCCGATGATAAGGGTGGAGGGCCACTTTTTAAAAGCGAAGCCTTTTTTCAGAGGCAAACCAGGCTGCTTGGGGAGAGACCGCAGCGAAATCCACCTGGCTGGATTCTCTGGAAATCGCTCGGGAAGCTTTCCTACAAATTGGAACTCCGCTCTCTGATGACAAGGGTTTGAGGGTTAGGAAGTTGGTTGAGCCCCTGGGAGGTTTGTTTGGGTTTTTCCCCTTTCCTTTCTTTTCTTTCTTTCTTTCTTTCTTTCTTTCTTTCTTTCTTTCTTTCTTTCTTTCTTTCTTTCTTTCTTTCTTTCTTTCTTTCTTTCCTTCCTTCCTTCCTTCCTTCCTTCCTTCCTTCCTTCCTTCCTTCCTTCCTTCCT